TATATATATATATATATATATAGGTTCAAGTGTTTAAAATAATTATTGTGTTATTGTATGCATAAATGTGTGTGACATCTCTAAAATCACGGTCAGAAAAAACCGGTTTAATTTATGCTTTTAAAACAATTTCAGAGTAATCATTTGATTAAAAAAGTTGCGGAATTTGTTCCCACAACGAAATATGATAAAATAAGATTTACCAAAGCATTTCTTAAATAAATGTATTTTCATTATATAACAAAACTCGGGATGTCATGTATTGATAAACAGACCAAAAACATAAACATTTCAATACAGACCTTACAACAATTATATAAAACAACAGGTCTATAATTCAAAATATCATGACAAATCATCCAACTTATGCTCTGGCGCCACTACCTGTAATACAAAGAAAACTTAGTGGGTCAGGCTTGGGAGCCTGGTGAGCATATAGGGTTTTCAACCCACAAAAAATAATTAATTTAATTCCATCAACCAACAATAACCTAATTACTCATTCCCGTTATTCTCACTTTACATCCCTAAAACAACTAACACAAGGGACCTAATCTAAGATTATTTCATCGGGGCAACAACACATGCTTCGGGGGTTCCTCAGCAATATAAGTCAAATAAAGCAACCATGAGGGGATGGAGTACAGCGAATGAACACTCAAGTTCATTAACACCTACAGGTAGACCTGGCAATTCGTGTATTCGTGTCATGAAAACGTGTCAGCCACGAATTTGACACGATACGATTACACAATGAGAAATAAGCTTTATCTCAATTTTTAAAATGTATTCGTGTCGTGTCGTGTCTCTCACAGATTCGTGTCTTCGTGTCTGAAATTGCCAGGTCTACCTACAGGTTGCGAGCCTGCTAACGTTCCACAAGACTATTGAGAAAAGTCTGTGGTCGCCTTCTCCGCTAGATGACTGAATCAAAAACATCGAGGCCTCTCATCTTTATATCACACGACCACTATCTACCCATGTTCTACCCAACATTTTAGTAGATAAAATATACATTGTTATACATAGTTTAAAACCTAAATAGTATGTTCATTCAAAACACATTCCAAATAAAAGATGAGACACATAAACATAACACGTATTTTATATAGAATAAATCATATCTATGAGATTAGAAGATAACATCGATATACTCACATAACACATATACATAGTACGTTAAATCGATACTTGTATAAAATTGTGCATTTGAAAGAGATTATGTACCCCCTTTAAATCAACACCAATATATAAATACATAACACATATTTCATAGTAAATACTTCGTATTTATGTGTTAGAAGAAAGTAACTACACACCCACTTGATCAGAAGATGATCGGACAGCACTACGGCTTGTAGAAGTAGTATTCTTCGGTTAAACTGGGAGATCTTCACAAAAACCGGGCTTCTTGCGGGCAGAGCTTCGGCTCGGGAACTTTACTTTCTCGGGATCTTCGGGGCTTCGAGACTTGCTTCGGGTCTTGGGAATGATATCAGGGCTTCGGGGTGTTTCATGCACGAAAATCGAGGTAAAACGGGAGAGAGATAAGAGATTTTGGCAAAGGAAGTCGGTTACCCTTGCATGCCTTTTATAGAGGCTGAGCCTCGCACTACGCTGGGCGTAACCCGGATAAGTCCGGTGACTCCCCCCTTTCGGATAATATCGGATTTTATATTTAAATTTAATATTTTAATCATTTAATAAAGTTCAAAATTTTATATCTTCCTCATACGAACTCCGTTTTCGACATTCTTTATATCCACGCGTAGGTGAGACTACGCTCTACAACTTTCGTTTAGACTCCGTCGGTTAATTTTGACTTATTTTTATTATTTATTTTTAGTTGGCCGGGACAGGAAAACTTTGTTATAAATTCATAACTTCTTCATCTGACGTCCGTTTTCGTCTGTCTTTTTATTGTTGCACTACTAATGACGAGATCTTCGATTCTCGTTTAGATTGCTTCGGCTAGAAATCATACGATCTCATATTCGAGTTTCGGGCTGCATATTGCTAAGCTAAAACTTCGGAAAATCATAACTTCCTCATACGAAGTCAGATTTGGATGATCTTTTTATGCACGATCTCGGTTTAACGAACTCTACAACATTCGTTTAGATCACTAAGTCTAAATATCATTCTATCTCAAATTTTCATTTTACGTCACTCAGCGTCGTGTCGGTTCTGTCGCGAAACTTCGACAGGTCATAACTTCTTCGTTATAACTTGGATTTCGGCATTCTTTATATCTCTGGAATCCTTGTTTCAACCACTACAACTTTATGCAAAGATATCAGGCTTATCTCACACTTTACTTTTGATGCTTATTTTATTCTTAATTCATTAAATTATAATAATTAAGAAAACAAACACGTAAATCAGATAATTCACATAATACTCAAATATTTCATCATTAATACTTCAAAAAGAGTTACAAAGGTTAACCTAGACTATTACATCAACGTTAATGTCTAGCCTAGAAACGCGGGCGTTATTCTCTCCCCCTTAGGATGATTCCATCCCTGGAATCACACATCAACAAACAAATGTGGATAGCAACTCAACATGTCACTCTCCATCTCCCAGGTGAGATTTGGCTCATTCGTATGTTTCCTTCGGACAAGCACTAACTCGACCATCTTGCATCGCAACTTCTTAGTTTTTCGATCAACGATTGCCTCTGGTTCTTCAATTAACCTTTTGTTTTCATTAATTCTTAATTTAGAAATTGGAATTATATCGGGAACTTCTCCCATGAATCTCCTCAAATAACACACATGAAAAGTGTTATGAATACCATCTAGTTCTTCGGGCAATTCGAGCTTGTAAGCTTGTTTCCCAACCCTCTGAAGAACTTTAAACGATCCAATAAACCTTGGACTTAACTTTCCCCTTTTTTCAAATCTTATAAGTCCCTTCCACGGCGAGACTTTAAGCAAAACCGAGTCTCCAACTTCGAAAGTCATCGGTCTTCGCTTTTTGTCAGCATAGCTCTTTTGACGATCCTGAGCTGCTAACATTCTTTCCCTGATTATTTTCAACTTTTTAGTTGTTTGATGAACCATCTCTGGTCCCATAAACTGCTTTTCCCCAGACTCAAGCCAACAAGACGGCATATGACACTTCTGTCCGTACAAAGCTTGATAAGGTGTCATCTTTATGCTCGAGTGGAAACTATTATTGTAGGAAAATTCTACCAAAGGTAAATGTTCATCCCAGATACCTAGAAATTACAGGGTACATGCTCTCAGCATATCTTCAAGTGTTTGTATCGTTCTTTCACTCTAACCATCAGTCTGCAGATGGTAAGCTGTACTTAAACACAACTTGGTACCCATTTCCTCCTGTAGATTTTTCCAAAACATTGAGGTGAAATGGCTATCACGATCCGATACAATCGTTAACGGAACACCGTGAAGCCTCATAATTTCCTTCACGTAAGAATTCGCAAGCTTATCCATAGACTATTTCTCATTGGCTGCTATGAAGTACGCACTCTTAAGGAAGCGATCAACGACCACCCAAATCAGATTCTCAGGAACATATGTAAAAGATAATACATCATCCACTTGTACTCAACGCTTAGCTGATTTGTACCCTTGCATTCATCCTTCATTTTGACAATCCAATGATAAGCAGACACATCATCTTATTTACATGATGCGGCAAAAACCAGCTGACCGGACTAAAACATAAAAGTCAATAATTTAATTTCAAGTTGTTTTTTAGTTAACGTTTTTCAATATTTATGATAGAAATACTAAACTTTTAAATACTAAATTTTGATTTTTTTTAAACGTTCATATAAAAAAAGTTGTACATGTATATAATTGTTTATAACTAAACACTTATTTTATTTTATTTCATTTATTAATTTTTTTTAATGTTTTTTATTATCTAAAAGAACAATTATATAAAAAATCATAAGTTTTATTCTCTACAATCATATATCAATATCTCGATATGTTTTTAAAATAAAAAACTATGTTACATCTCTGTTTCGATCCATTCACATTTATATGATCATCGATTTTTTTCAAATAATAATCAACACATGTTCATCATTCACATTCACATGAAAATAGTGATGATGGTTCTTAGCGAAATATGTCACCTTGTATGAAAAAAATCTAAAATCATCATTTTAACATCTACCAATATAATATGTTAAAACTTAAAGGGGTCAATTTGGACACGCTTCTTTAAAAAAAGGGCCGACTTGAATGATATTTTATCTTTGCAATGGATAAAACTCAAAAACATTGGCTAAAAAGGAAATGGCTCAAGTGGGTTGAAAGAAAGTTTGAGTCTCAGCATATATAAATAGTTGTATAATCTTTTGCATTAGTGAATGTATAATGATCATCATCATCAGAAAGAAAGTTCACTAATAGGCAAATAAACAAAATCCTTAGTTCCTTACTATGTAGTAGGAATCTAAAAATCTTTTACAATATATAAATTGTTTAGAAAACGCCTAATATTAATACTCCCATCCATTCAAAAACATAAGAGCAATATGAGCCTCTGTTTTTTTTTTTTTCAAAATAAGTAGCATATCCAAAACCATTTGTAGCAGAATTGAGTGAGT